TTACTCAGACAGCAATATATATATGTATACACACATACACGTGGTGGGGGGAATGAATGGGGTGGGGAGAAAGAGAGAGACAGAGAAAAAGAAAGAGAGAGAAAGGAGAGAGAATTAGTTAGTTGGATAGGTAGGATAGGAGGCTATTAACAAAAAAACAGGTGAATGGAAATCATGGCACAAAATAGGTTATAGTGGGAATGGGAGGAGGAATGAATATGAAGAGATATTGTGAAATCTATCTACAGTATTTAGTGACTGTAAATACACAGTCTTCCTCATCTACAACATTCATTTTCTATCACCATGCCTTTGTATAGATTGTCTCTCATGCCTGGAATGTATTCTCTCCTCATCTCTGTCTCTTAGAATCCATAGCTCACTTCACGACTTACCCCAAGTGCTACCTCCTTCATGAGACATTTTCTGACCACCTCAGTTTGGAGTGTTTACTTGAAATCACTTTGTATATATTTTCTTTTTAGTAACGTGTATACTTGTTTTTCTCCAATAGAAGTGTAGCCTCCTTGAGGAAAGGGATTATATATCTATATCTGTCTGATAAAAAGACATAAATGGTAGGGATTTAACAGAAGAAGAAAAGATTAAGATGAGGTGGCAAGAATACACAAAAGAATTTTACAGGAAAAATCTTAACATCACTGATAACCATGATGATGATGATGTGGTTCCTGATCTAGAACCAGTCATCCTGGAGAATGCAGTCAAGTGGACCTTAGGAAGCATTGCAAACAATAAGACTAGAAGAGATGATGGAATTCCAACTGAGATATTTAAAACCCTAAAAGATGATGTTGTTAAAGTGTTGCACTCAATATGCTAGCACATTTGGAAAATACAACAGTGGTCACTGGATGGGAAAAGATTAGTTTATGTCCTAATCTGAAGAAGGGCAGCCCCAAAGAATATTCAAATTATGGAACAATTGTACTCATTTCACATGTCCACAAGGTTATCCTTAAGATTCTGCAGGCTAGGCTTTAGTAATGTAGGAAATGAGAACTACCAGAAGAGCAGGCTGGTTTTTGAACAGGCAGAGAAGCTAGAGACCAAATTGTCAATATTTGCTGGATTAAGGAGAAAGCAAGGGAGTTCCTGAAAAACTATCTATTTCTGCTTCATTGACTACACTAAAGCCTTTGATTGTGTGGATCACAACAAAATGTGGCAAGTCCTCAAAGAGATGGTGGTACCAGCTAATCTTACTTGTCCCTGAGGAACCTGTATGCAGGCCAAGAAACAGGTTAGAACTGAGCATGGAACAGCTGATTGATTTAATATTAGAAAAGAAGTGCAACACGGCTGCATATTGTCACCTTGTTTATTCAACTTATATGCGGAATACATCACATTAAATGCCAGTGTGGGTGAATCAAAAGCTAGATTTAAAGTTGCCAGGAGAGATATCAACAATCTCAGAAATGCAAATGGCAACACTTTAAGGGCAGAAAGTGAAGAGTAATTAAGAAGCCTCTTGAAGAAGGTGAAAAAGGAGAGTATAAAAAGCTGGCTTAAAGGCTAATATAAAAAAAATTAATATCTTGGCAACTGGTACCATCACTTCCTGGCAAATAGAAGAAGAAATGGAAGCAGTGTCAGATTTTATATTCTTGGGCTTAAAGATCACTGTACATGGTAACTGCAGTTGTGAAATTAAAAGATGAAAAGGAAAGCTATGGCAAATCTAGACAGCATACTAAAAAGCTGAGGCATCATCTTGTTGACAGAGGTCCTTACATAGCCCTTATGTAGTCAAAGCTATGTTTTTTCTAGTAATAATGTATGGCTGTGAGAGTTGGACTATAGGGAAAGCTGAGTGCCACAGAATTGATGCTTCTTAATTGTGGTGCTGGAGAAGACTTTTGAGAATACCTTGGACATCAAGGAGATCAAATCAGTCAATACTTAAAGACATTAATTCAGGGTTTTCACTGGAAGATCAAATATTGAAACTGAAGCTTAAATACTTTGGCCACATAATGAGAAGGTAGGACTCAGTGGAAAAGCCTCTGATGTTGGGGGAAAATTGAAGGCCAAAGGAAAAGGGCATGGCAGAAGATAAGGTGGATAGATAGTATTAAGGGAACAACGAACAAGAACTTGGACAAACTGCAAGAGATAGTGGAGGATAGATAGAAAAGGCTGGATTGCTGTGGTCCATGGGGTCATGAAGAGTCAGACATGACTCTTCATGTATGTTTGTATGTATGTATGTATGTATGTATGTATGTATCTGTCTATCCAGTTATCTGTCTATTGGCCTACCTATCTATATCTCTGTTGACCTCTATCTTTTCTCCCAGCACGGCTGCCTAATAAATGAATGTTTATTGTGAGGAAGAGAGAAATCAAGAATGACACAATGGTTGGAAGATGGTGGTATCTTTGATAGAAATAAGAAGTTAGGAAGAAGAGTGTGTTTCAGGGGAAAGCAATAATCCAATTTAGACATATTGGACTTAAAATATCAATTGGTGGAAGTGTTGAGTAGGTAATTAGAAATCTGACTCAGTTGATTATGGGTGAAGATGTAGATTTGTAAGTCTTACTGGAGATGATTTTTACTAAAACCTATGCCCACTGGAATTAAACAGTGAAAAAGTGGGAGCTGATTTCAGTCCATGAATCCTTGAAAGCAGCACAGCCAGTTCTAATTTTAAAGGGTCCAGAATTACCCTTGTTTCTGGATCTTCTAAGCTATTGTCTAAAGGTTCTTCTGGCTTTGAAAACTGGGAATTATTATTCTCAGGTGCATTTGTGAAACATCATAAATAGAGGACAAGACTAGTCATGTAATTTCATTGGTATGAAAAAAAACCTTTCAGGTGAGGAAACTATCTTTACCCATGCAGTTCTCTGCAACTTAGAGTCTCAGCCAGTTGCCTGGCACTTAGAGTTTAAGTGACCTGCCTACCATCACATGACATTGAAAGTACATTTAAATAAAGATGATTTGTGTTTGTTAATTATCTCCGTCCTCCTACTGTATACTTCGTGACACTGAGATAAATCAGCTACGATCTTTCTGCTAATGTAACAAACAGAGCAAGCCATCTTTGTTAAGAAAAAGCATATTGTATTTTTTGGTGGTGGAGATGAGACTTATAATTTAGAATTTATGTGTTTTCTGGGTTAGGAACTTTTGCTGCTTCACTGAGCTGGTTGAAAAGATTCAGTCCATTACCTAGCACCATGTTTTCCACATTGTAGGTACTTAGTAAATTTTTGTTGGGTTGAGTATGTGGGACATTTGCTTGTGGCTGTAAGAATGTTGTCTTGAGAGCTATTCTCTCATTTTTCTTTGTTTATCTTATGTCCCTCTTTCTCTGATTTGCTTGGAATCCTTTAGAAAAGAACAGTGTGGAGTCTTGGTTTCATTTTAGATCTCTGTCCTCTTCCAATGCAATTTGCTTCTGTAAGTGTGAGGTGACCAATTGCAAAAAGAACAAAACAAAACAAAACAAACCTGACAGACATTGTATAGAAGACACTGAAAAGCCATAACAAATTATTCATCTTTGTTTCATCTTTGAATATCAATAAGTCAACCAACAAGCATTTATTAAGCACAGGGAAATTGTTTTAATGGTCCCTTTCTCTGAAATAGGAAAGTTTGAGGAGAGAGTACAACCAGGAAGGCTCTCTGAGATCAGTACCATTTATTAGTTGTAACCTTTAATCACTTTTGGTTAATAATCAAATAGACAAACAACAGCAATTGATGTGAGCCAATATCCATACCAAGGAGGAATTGTTAGCTTACTCATAAATTATTCTCTTCTCTCTTTTTTAAACTTCAAATAAGCCATGCAATTGTTTCTTTAACAAATCCTGCTTTGAAAAACAAAAAAAAATTGCCTTCATTACAGGCTACTAGTGGTCTTTAATAAATGAAATTTTGGAGATTTTGCCAATTTTTATGTGATCATTAGTTAAACCAGTGAAGCCCCTCTTTATGCAGTTAGCAAGAGAGCTTAATACAAGATCATGGTTAAGTCTAAGGTAATTGGTCCCTTTTGACCTTGCCTTCTTTGTTTGCACGGTTTACTGGTTTTGAGGAAATACTCTCAGAATGCAATAGAAATAATCTTATCTTCATCTGGATCTAGAATTTCTTATAAAAGTATAGATAACAAATGAACAAAGTTTAAATAGAGCAGGAAACCCATTAGGGAAGTGAATTGTCCAGGTAGCAATGAAGCAGAGAAAAGCCTGGAGAGGGGATAACTTCACCATGTCCTGCAGCCCAGCAAGCAGACATATCTAAGTAAATAGCAAATTCTGTGAAGACATATGGGTCATTCAGCCAGGCAAAGCTCCACTTGCTCATAATTATATTCATTTTTGGGTAGTGGTACCCTTCCATGCCATCCAGTTCCTTCTGTATTGTATCCCAAGAGTACAAGTTCCTGCACTTCCCTTGTCCTGTACAATTTTGACCTCCCATGATCTTTCAGTTGTCTACCTAGGAAAAACTATGGTTCTCATCAGGGTTGGGGAGGGAGGAAGAATAAATAAGAATAAAACAGAACACTGAAGTTTTGAATCTTCGTGGTTCTGACAGAAATGGAATAATAGGAAAGATGGCGTTACTATTTGGAAGGTTATATGATGAATTTAGTTTCTTTAATAGAGTCAGTACCATTGGTCAACAGAACAATTTTTTTAATGAGAAAACTTTCCCTATTTTAGGCTACTCTCCTTTCCCCTCCTCTCATTCTTCCACCTCTAAAACAGGAAGGTAAAATCTGTAAAATAACACATCTGTGTAGTTGTGGCAAAATATCAGTTTGTTGAGTCATTGCTATATTTAAAATTTTTATTTTTCCATAACTTGGAAGTCACTAGAGAACTTAGAAGTTTTGAGATCATCATTTTATACTCTAACAAAGTGCTTAATTTCATAATTTAGATTTGAGTAAACACATCTTAATCCATCATTATTATCACATTATAGGTAAAGTTTCTTTCTTTGGCAGATGGGAAATTCTTTGGTCAGAGAGACCTACAAAGGTGAATACTCCCCAGGCTCGCCAGTTTAAACCTTATATCAAACAGATAAATTTTCCTTCAAATCTTATTCGACTGGAAGTAAATAGCACTCTTCTGGACTATTACACTGAATTAGATGCAGTTGTGCTACATGGTGTGAAGGACAGACCTGTACTTAAGACTTCACTCATTGACATGAATGATCTGGATGAAGAGGATTATGAAGAGAAAGACGTCTGTGGAATGGAGGCTCTTAGTAAACAGTTCAACAGTGCTGCCCTCAGGGAGTGGACAAACAATGGCTATTTTGATAAACTACCTTATGAGGTAAGCCAAAAATATCTTAATAAAAATAGAATAGAGTATATTTCACTAATAAAAATATAAAATGCCTAAGTGTGCAAACAAATTAATAATATATAAGGTTATTGCAGAAATACTAACCCCACTTAAGAGATCATACTTTTTTCAAGTACTCTTTTATACACATGTATATTTATATTTAATTTCCTAAAATAGAGTTCTTTATGATTTACTGAAGTGAATTTCAAAAGACTTTTACTTAGCAACACATTTTAAACTATAATGTGAAGTAATTGATTTTTTAAAAAATCCATTTATACTTCTTATTGATTCGTATTAGCATTCTTAATCAATAAGCATTTGTCATTATTGATAAATTTTATTCTTAATGTATTACCAATTAGACTGAATTTGTGAAGCTTTACTGTATCTAACAGCTGTCATGGAATCTGCAATATTAGGAAACCTAGATAAAAGGGACAATATTGGACAGGGGCCAGGATAAAAAAAGTAGAGGAGGGATTTTGGCTGTTTAACTCCATTTTCTTCATTCCTCCTTGATGTGCTCTTCAGCTTTAAAGGAGTACTGATTTGCCTGTTTGCTCATTTGTTTGTTTTCCCAACTAGAGTTCTCTAGCCCTTAGGATGAGTGGGGTAAGGAAGAGTGAGTTAAGGGGATAGAAGAGGGAAAGAGGATAGGAGAGGAAGAGAAAGTGGAAAGAGACAGACAGAAAGAATACATGAGGAAAAAATAGGACTAAATTGTGCCATCAAGGACTCTAAGAAAGCAGTGTGCAATTAGACTTCATATAATTGCATCCATAAATACAGTTTGGGAGGTGATTTGAAGACTGGAGTGCATAGTCAGATGAATAGACTTTTTTTATTCTCAACCCTTCTTTCCAAAATTGAGAATTAAAAATTTTATGAACGAATTTAATGTAGTATGTTGAATTTATATTCTGTGACAACTATGTGTATGTTATTGATTTGGCTTCTGATATTTCATGTGCCTTGTTTTACTTAATAGATGAACTAAACCTTTTGTACAAATTTTTTGTACAAAATATATTTTTTATATATTTAAGGAGCAAGCTTTTAAAAGTCATTTCATTGTGAATACTTTCACTAAGTGAAGAGTAATTCCTTAAAGTAAATAATCCTATATCTAATTTGTCTTTTGTATAATTATGGATTTTTGTATTTTACCACTTTTGTTCAAAGCAAGATAACCCGAGTTATCTCTGAGTACTGAGTTACTGATATAAAATAGTAACACGTCATTTTTCCTCATTGTTTTCCTCTTACTTTTGTTATTTGATGTCTTAGATTGCATGACTTTGACACTCCATCAGATATATTGAGCATAAATCTTTTCTTCTACTGAAAGTTATTTTGAATTGAGTATGATCAGACTTTATTTTTTTTAAAGCTTCCCAAATTCCACACTTTATCTGAGAAAAGGCTTCTGCTGTAAACTTTCAAATTTAGACCAGTTAATATTAAATTTAATGAATACAGTAGTGTTGCTGCTGTATTCCACTCTTTTCAGGACTGACATGGAAGATTATGATGTGAATATCAGGAGGGCTCTCATCATAAAGCAACCTCTAGCCCACAAAATGGCATTAGTTTTTTCATTTTTAGGCAATTCATCCCATTTAATGAATGAAAAGATTACATATAAACAACTACAAAACATGTATATAGCATCTTAAAATTTGCAGAGAGATTTAGATGCGTTATTTCTTTTAATCCATACAGCTAACCTGTGAGGTAAGTACTACAGTTATGGTGACCCCTATTTTAAGGAAGGTAAGGAAACTGAGGCTCAGAGGAGTTATAGGACTGGCCCGTAATTATACATGTTGCAAATGTCAGAGCCAGGATTCCAAGCCCTGCCTCTCTTGTCTTTATGACCATTGTTCTTTCCACCACACTGGGCTACCTTCACTGATACTAATGAGAAAAAAACAAACAGACTAGGGAGGGGAATTGTATTGAATAGATGCTTTTTTATAATTAACTTTATTTGGGCATTCCTTCTGAACACACCATGTCATATATTCATTATGGTATCAAATTGTTCTTTATGATAGGATACCCATGGATAAAAAGCAGGATTCTGACAGATACCAAAGTCTGTGTTGGTAATGATTTATAGTTAGTTCTCCATAGGCTTGAAAGCTGTTATCTTTTGTTTAATCATAGGCAAAGAGTTATTTACTTTTATTTTAATGTCATAATCTTATTTGCATTTTATTTTATCTTTTCTATTTTTATTTCAGCTAGTGGTTTTTTTTTTTAGTAAATATCATGAATATTTTTCTGTATCAAGAACTGAACAAATGAAAAAATATGGATTAGGAGCACTACCAAAAATTCCTTGGGGAGTAATCTTAATGTTTACTGGTGTTACAAGTAATACAGGTTATTTATTGTTCAATCTGAAGATGTCATTCTGTCAGCCTGAACTAAGTCATTCTTTAAAAACTCAAAAGTATTTCCAGTTAAAATCAGATATAAAAATAGTTTAGACAATGTAACTATCATGACAAGGTGGTTGATAAATTTGTTCATAATGGTTCGATGATGCCTTTTGTAAAACTAATTTTGAAATGTTACCACTTTATGCATTTAGAATTTATGCATTCTAGTTTTGGTCATTGTAACATTTAAAGATAATGTGGTATTCCCTACTATGTTTTTGTGTTGCAACTTATCCTTTCCTTAAAAGCAACATAATTTTAACCTAAAATGAAAAGTTAGGGGGAATATGATATATTTATCATTTCTAAAAATGTCCAAAAATAAAGATTTTAGAACAGGGAATTTGTGATGTTTTTTACATTTAAAAAAATTGCCTCCAATTTTCTCTAGTATTAAAAAACCTCTTAATTTATTCACATAATTTTTTTCCTTTGTGTTTCCTGAAAGTTAAGTCATATTCAGTTGTTGTACTACAAACTGACTGGTGCTTAACATCCAAACGTGCTTGACTTTCAGACCATTAAATAAGATAAATGGGTAAGTTATGGGAAAGAATTGAATCATCATTCAAAACTGTACTCTTCACTGTTGTACCACTTAGAAGACATACTAGTTATTTATTGTTCATCTTGAATTTTAGTAGAAATCTTACTTTAGACACAGAGCCTAAATGTAATTTTAAAAAATAAACAGAATAGTCAGAAACAGCTGGAAATACTTTGAGTTTTAAAAACTTCTGATGCCATATTGTTGTGTTTTGATGCAAATGTTAGCTTTCTTTTTGATATTTATTCTTTTAAGTGTTTAGCTTATTAAATGTAGTTTTGATTACTTCTTAATAATTTTACATTTTGACTTTAATATTAGTTCTAGGTTTTAATCTTGATATCCGTATTTTTTTATCTTTTATGTAGCTGATCCAGTTGATTTTGACTCATCTTACACTACCTGACCTATGTAGATTAGCACAAACTTGTAAGCTACTCTACCAACATTGCTGTGATCCTCTACAGTATACTCACCTCAATTTGCAACCCTACTGGGCAAAGCTGAATGACACATCTCTGGAATACCTACAGTCTCGTTGCACACTAGTCCAATGGCTGAATTTATCTTGGACTGGAAATAGAGGCTTCATCTCTGTTTCGGGATTTGGCAGGTTAGTGTCCAAAGATGAAGAGGTTTACAGATGACTGTGGGTAGTTCTTATGATAAAGGTTCAAAATACTCAGTGCATGTTTATGAGAATGAGATAGAAATGTAGTTTGCATAGTAGTGGATTGGTTTCTGTTAGAAGTAATGTCTTGTAGCATCCTCTTCTGGATGAGCAGCTTAAAAAAACCATCTTGAACTATAATATTATTTAGTGAAATTATAGCTTTTATGAAAAATAATTTTAAGCAAAAGTCCTTTTTTCATTTTTTATGCCCAGTGAAAGTTTTTTTAAATAAAAAGCCTTTTCTCATCTCATAGTTTCAGATTATATCAATAACACATTAAAAAAAATTATTTCAAAATCAAATCTACCTCTCTAATGTGATTTGTCAGAAATGGAAAACAATTTATTACAGAACATTTTTAATTAAATCTTAATTACATGTGCAATGCATCACCCAAATTTAGAAGCTCATTTGAACTAATTATGTTGAAAAATGCAATTGCACGCTAAATAGACGACCACACTTGCAGACCTGCCCAGGTGTTTCTGCTCCCTTCTATTTAGACATTTGGTTTCCTTACTATTAAATGTCACCTGTTAGAGATTGGAAGCTTACACAATTATATATTTATTTAGGAATATAGCATTTTATCTTATGTTGTAAATTTGCGGGGGGTTTTAGTTCCTTGTTGATGACAGTTTCCAGAAAATAGTTTTCTTGTTTTTATTAAACTAAATAAATGATAACTAAAGAAAAAGCAACTCAGGAAATTTCATGAAATTTATGTTTAATGAGAGTATTTTGTCCTCTTATTTTGGAAAGCTAAAAACAAACTAGAGGTATCCCTTGATGTTCACTACACCACTATTTTTGAAAAGTTCTATGTGAAGGAAAATTTTATTAAATTTCATTAACTTACTAAAAAACCAAAAGTATGTTCTCATGGATAATTTTTTGGTGTCAAGATGTCTGAGAATCTGATAACAGTAATAATGCTTAAACTTTTTTTTTTAACAAAACATCCAAAATACTAACATTAGTGAACAGTATTTGAAAAACAAAAACAAGACAAAATCAGCCCTTGCTACATTTTTAGTTCTATAGTAAATTAGAATTAGATTCTAAATATTTTATAACTATAAGAATAAGTACAGTATGAATTCCATTTCTGCTTTATGAATTTTATACATTTATTATAATAATAAGAATAGTAATAATAACTAATATTTATAGAGAGCTTTAAGGTTTGCAAAGCACTTTACGTATGTTGTCTTGTTTGATCTTCACAACCCTGGGAGGTAGGTGGTGTTGTTATTCCTATTTTACAGATGAGGAAACTGAGGCACAGAACAGTTAAATGACTTGTACAGGGTCACATAGGTAGTGAGTCTCTGAGGTTGAATTTGAACTTGGGTCATCCTGATTCTAGGTCTGGTGCCCTATCCACTGTACAACCTGGCTGTTATGAGGAATACCTACAGTGCAAAAATAATATTTTTGGTTTCAGAAGGATATGTGCATGTTTTTATTTGTAAAAATTTGAAGCTATTCATTTATTTGACCTATATCTCTCTCTTCACTTGAACTTTTCCTGTCTTCAAGTAAGACCAGATAGACCTGGAACTAGTAATAACCAGATACATTTAGAGTGTGAAGAATTAAGACAAACTAAGAATGATGGGGGCTACTAACAACCAGAAACAAACATAAGATGTTAAGTTTCCTGAGGGCAGGGACCTCACATCACTCATAGCAGCTAACAGCAGCTGCCATGTAGAAGGAAACTAGTCATTTAGTCACAAAGCATTTACTTAGTGCCACCGTGCTAAACACTGTGTTATGTATTGGGGATGAGGAGAGAGAATAAAATAATCCTCAGCATCTGACATAGATCCTGGTACATAGTAAGTGTTAAATAAATGCTTTTCCATTTCATTCTAACTACAAGGTAGTTAAAGGCAAGGAATCAGGAAGGAAGGGTATTTGCAGTAGAGGGGTAGGGATGAGAATCAAAAAGGCTTTGTTTAGAAGGTGAGGTTTAAGCTGCATCTTGAAGGAAGAGAGGAATTTTTTTCCCTAGAGGTTAGGAGAAAGTGCATTCCAGTCAAGGGAAATGGATGGCCAGTGCAAAAACCAGAACTAGAAGATGGAGAGTTGTATGTGAAGAAGAGAAAGAAGGCAAATTTGTCAGCTCTATAGCATGCAGGGAGGAGAACAATATGTGATAATGCTGGAAAGATGGGTTGGGTCTATGTTATAAAGGAGTTTAAAAGCCAAACAGAAGTTTCTCTTTTATTCTAGAGGCAGTAGAGATCCACTGGAATTGAACAGAGGAGTTGGTCAAATCTTAAGGATAGTCACTTTGGTAGCTCTGTGTGTGTGTGTGTGTGTGTGTGTGTGTGTGTGTGTGTGTGTGAGAGAGAGAGAGAGAGAGAGAGAGAGAGAGAGAGAGAGAGAGAGAGAGAGAGAGTTCAAAGAGAGTTCAATTTAGAGGCCATTAATAGTATACACAAAAGGTCATGAGGGTCTCAAATAGGGTTGTAGCTGTATGAATAGAGAGAAGGGAACACATCCAAGAGATGTTATAGAAATAGAAATGACAAGATTTGGTAACTAATTGAATGTGTGAGGTGAGTAAGAATGAGAAGTCAAGGATAACATTTAAGTGAAAAACTTGAAAGAGTGGAAGAATAGTGGTACCTTCAACAGAAATAAGGGAACTTTGGAAGAAGGATGGAGTCACAAGGAAAGATCTTTATCTGCTGCAATGAGCTTTACATATCTCCAGAACATCCAGTTTAAAATACCCAATAACAGGCAGTTAGTGACTAGGACTAAAACTTAGGGAGAGACTGGTTATATTGATTTATGATTCATTTGTATATAGATGACAGTTAAATCCTTGAAGCTCACCAAGAGAAGTTTAAAGAAAAAAGAAGAGGGAACAGCATAGATCATTGGAAAATATCCAAAGTTAGGTGGCTTGATGTCGTTGATCAGCAAGTGAAGGAAACTAAAAAGGAATAGGACACCCTCATAGGAGAATGAAGACAGAGTAATGTCATGAAAAGTCAGAGAAGAACTTTCAAGTTCACGAAGTCATAGCCATCTCCAGTCACTCACAGAAGTAACAGGTGTATATACTTATTGGCCACATCATGGCAGCTTGAGGTCTCTCTCCCCATGAAGGACTTAGTCCTCACCTCCTTAGTTGAACATTCCAGGGAGAGAAAAAGCAGACAAAAGGACAAAAGGATTTGGCTGACTAGTAATTCTGGTATGCACCCCAATTCTGTTTTCATAGCCAATGACAGAGGCTCTTCTTCACCATGTAGTTACTGTACTATAGACAGTTACAGAACGTGCATACCCCAAAGTCCATATAGATATTGTATTAATTGAGCATTCTGCACATGATATAAGGGCTGGGCTCATTGGCCAGTCCTCCATTTTTTTCCTTATTTATATAACTAATTCTAGTACATAAGAAATAGGAAGGAAACAGCAATTTGCTTTTCTAAATTTTAGATTATTGTTTTATGGATAGAGTTCCTCTTTGCAAGATTAGAGCTTCATTTTTTTTTAAACTAGAAATTTAGTCTCTGTTGTCAGTTCACTCAAGTTAGTTGCTTGAGTTTGTTTAAAGAATAACAAAAATACAAATTGAACATAAGTACTTTATATTTAACTATGGTATTTTAGTCAGTGAGCCATTTGATCTTTTAAAAATGTTTTATTGATGCTTTTAAAAAACTTTACTGTCATTTTCTATCCCCCTAGAATAGCATCCTTTCTTGTAACAAAGAAGTACAAAGCAAAGTGGCACACTGACCAAAGACATTCAATCTTAATATCATCCCTTTAATCTTTATTATTTATATTAAGTGAATATTTATTCAGGGGAGGAAGGGAGTAGTATTTTTTCAAGGGAGGGGCATTAAAAGTTTTTCTAACTGATTGCTGTTGGCCCCTTTACTTTGACTACTGAATTGATAGTCATTATGATTTGTAGGCAGCATTCCCAGAATAAACAATAAATATTCATAACTTGATTATTAATGAATAATCTATGAATAAGTATGGTCTATTTATGCTCATTACTGTGAACAAGATTTATTTATAATAATTTTAAGAAAAAAGTAGATTTTTTTCCAAAGTAGAGATGTGTTAAATGATCAGTTTTCTGGAGAGTTTTTGGGAAAAGATTGATGTAGCTCCTTCTTGTTGCTGATAATTCTTACATAGATACACAACTGTATCTCTGTAAGTTGAAATGATTTAGCATGATTTTTCTTACGAGTTCTTAGGAAATTGTATCCCTAAAGTATTCAGTAAGTAAATTTAGGTGAAGACACTAGTACTTAAAAACTTTGATCAGAATAGGTAACTCTGTCCTTTCTGTATGTGCAGATCTGTAAATTAATAGCTAAAATATTGCCTGCATTAATCATTCTTTATGCAACTTCTTATTAAAATAAAATTTATTATAATTTTCCAGTTCTTCTTAAGTCACAGGAATCTAAATCCTTTTAGATTCTTAGATCGCTAGATATTTCTACATCAGTCTATGTATTTTGAAACATAACTGTATTCAGCTCCAAGATTTGCTCTTTTCTATTTTTAAACACTCTGTAATTTGACTAAAACCAATTACTGATATTTCATTTAGGTAACAAGTATTTATTAAGCACTAACTATATACCGGGCACTGTGCTAAGTACTAGAAATACAAAGAAAGGCAGAAGCTGTTTCTTCACTCACAGAATTCACATGTTACTGGAGAAAATAACATGCAAATAGCTCTATATACATAATATATAGAATAACTGGAAATTAATTCTGAAGGAAAGACATGAGCAGTGGGGGGATTGAGGATGGGTTGGAGGAGTAGGAAAGTCTTTCTGCTGAACATGGGATTTGAGCTGTCTAGAAGTAAAGAAAAGCAGGATACAGAGTTGAGGCAGGAAAGCATTCTGTTTCTTCTGCATTATATTGCTTC